CCTCTTGAATCCCCGTAGGCGCTGTGGTACATGTGCTGCAGGTATTTAAATACCGCAGAACCATGATGTGTTTTGCCGGTTGCCCTAGGTGTTCAGGAATAACCGAATCTCGGTTTGGTGAAGTAATACCCCCTGATGTTGTTCTACGACTTATAGATTATCCGAAAATATTTGTTCTAAATTTCTGTTAATTATTACTAGAAGTTTTTCGTGCATTACCGTTTTAAATGTCTGCTATAATTCAGTGTCAGACGGTTCGGAAAAACGCCCTGTCCTTGAAAGTGACATCTGTTTCTTTCGCTGTCGCATTCGCAAAATTCCGCAATAAATTTCGATGTGGCGCGATCGTTCGAAGCAGCATGTCAAAAGTACTGGAATCTTATATCTTATCCGTTATGATATGTCATCTTAGCTGTTCTTTGACAACCTCAACAAATAACAACCTTGGTTATTTTTATTGAATAAATTGACTATTCTTGAACAACAGAAGCATTATTCCGTTTTTAGGCTAAGGCTTGGATTAGATTTTCTTCGGTTCGGTTCACTGTCCGCCTATCATCGCCCCATCTTCCTTTTCCATCTCGTAGCACACAACTTAATCGTTGAAATTGATTATTAGTGACTATTGTCAGTCTCTATTTCACACTTGCGGAATTTGATGGTTGAGATTTTGAGAGCTGCGGTAGATGAATGGACGACTTGTTGAAAAGCGGTACCTACAGAATGGGACATAACCATGAAGCGATGTTGATAGATTTTTGAAGTCAGCTTTGCATATCTAGAAAATCTAATTTGGTCCTGAACTTAAACCTCAAAGAAGAGGGCTTTTTTCGGTTCAAGTTATTGGCATTAATGTTAATGCTTGGAAAAATATAATTTTAAATGAGTTCTTTATTGCTAATTATAATAGTCCACCTAGAAATCACGAAGTGTGCGTCCACTACGGTCTGGACGCAAGATCCTCAAAAACCTTGTAGGAAGGATCATATTTCATAAAGTTATCCTCTTTGGATGATACCCAGCATGCTGCGGCATCATGGATGTATTTGAAGGGGTATGAAAGTGAAAAAAGTTTATCGACATGCATTATAACATGACAGAGATAATCACCCTCCAGTAATTACATCGGTTTTGGCTTCACTGTTCATAAGTATTGAGTTTACTTAACAAAGTTTTTCACTTGGACAACAAGATGTGAAAAACCTCATCTTGACTCTGCATCACGTGATGATGTTTCGTGATGCAGTCGATTTGGGAGCAGTGGTAACGGGCATTTTATAAATAGCGTTTTCACCATATGACGACGGTATTCGTCACCGTTACATAACTGTCGATACTTTGTCTCCCTGTCCCTCTCTGTTACGTTATGTGGTCATCATTACAGGGGACATGTGTTGCAACCATTCTTTCGAAGAACAGGGCGAAATCAAAGTAGGAGCAGGGAGTGATAACCTTCCGAGTACGTTGCGCATTGTATTCGGTTGAATAAAGTGTCATCGACTCTCGTCTCGTACCTCTTGCAATCGGTTGTTGCGCAGCTGGGTAATAAGTCACCGTGTCGTGGCCGTTCATCACCTTGGTGTCCAAGATTTCGTCGACGCAACCCATACTTCACATTCCTCGGTGGCGTTGCGACTCGTGGCATTCCGATCCGAACCTGAGCCGGTATTCTTCCGTCTGTCGGAAGCAACGAAAAACTGGAAAAAACCGATGGCGGAGCGAACGGCTGTCACGACTGCCGGCGATGACCGAACGTTGCGACTGATGGATGGACGTACGTACGTAAGGAAGGGCGATCGCTGCCGCGGCCAAACCGGTCTTGCACTGTTTTGTCTTCGTCGTCGCCTCGCGACGTCACTCACCGACGGAAGGAGGCAGGCAGACAGGCTGCGTGAAACTCACGCCGATGTCTATCCGCCCCTCCAGTTCAATCAACCAGCGAATCCCAGCTGCCAGCTTTTCGCCATCGACGCGAGCTTATTTGTGTCAATAACTGACGTCGACGTCGTGGCTCTGTGTACGATCCTCCTCGTCTATCGGTTTTTTAACCCTTGTCTCTCATATCACTGGTATCAGATATCACTCACGTATCGGCTTACCGTGAGCGTTCGCCAGTCGCAGTCACCGGCACCTATTTTATTGCTATTTAACCTGTTATATTTTTCCGGTTGTTGCCCTGGGTACCACTAAATGCAGATTCAGGTACTATAGAATTCAGCCACTGGGTCACCTTCGTCGTCCAAGGTCGTCCGTGTCATTCCCTCTTCACAAGTCAATATTTAAAGTTTTTGTTATATCTTGGGCCCATAACTGATCAGCCTTACATTTCATTGATATGTAACTGCCACTCATTAAGATAAATGTAGCGAGTAATGTGATATGATCTTGTGTTAAATACTGTCGTCATAGAGAGAAGAGTTCATGAAGTGAGGAAAGGTTCCATATAAAACGTTTCAAAAAGGCGGGTGATTGTCAACGAGTGGATAATGCCGCATTGCGGATCGAATAGTCAACCGAAAGTCTCATGAAAGGAATACCTCCAAAAAGAGATGACAAATTTTGGTAAGAACTGACGTGGCATCGGAAAGACTGAAGAGTGTGCACGCATTTACTCGTTCCAGGTGGAATGCGTGTACGGCGTTTGGGGTAGTTTTAGGTACAATTAGTAGAGAAGAAGAGCAGGAAGAAGTTGCGACGCCCAAACATAAGGTGCAACGATGATAAGGATTAGTTAACATCCGAAATCGTTGCGTTACTAATGGCTGTCATTAAGTCAAACTTTTTCCCGGCGATATTACTTGGTGTAGCTTTCATCATGCAAACTGTCGTTTATACCAAGTATGGCGATTCATGGGTACGATACATAGAAATCTAAATGGTGATTGGTGCATGTTGTACAGGAATAGCGAGTAAAGTTTTATTTGTGTCGTGGCGATAGTTGAAACTTGAGATTTTTTGAAACAATTCATTCTTAACTGACATGGTTATTGTTCCGAGCCTAGCGACCAGCTTTGGGTGAATGCTTCAACATGAAAATTTGGCATATTCTCGATTTTCAGCCACTTCTACACGAAAGATCACAATTTCAGACATGTCATGGAAATGGCAGAAGAGAGACTCAGCGCGGACCGCCAACCGATTTTAAGACTTGTAAGACTTGCACTGTCGCGCCTTGGAAGCCAGGTAATTGAGCTTATCCATTTGGCGGAGGTCTCTTGAAAGAGCTCTCCCTCCCCCAATCCGAAAGAAATTTAGACCTTTGAAAACGAATGAATGAATCTCCATGAACGAAGGTAATATTTATGTCATACGGCGTTCGATCTTATAAGGCAAAGTTTATGAATTACGTTGCATCGTTTTTAGTACTCCTCTTTTTTTTTTAGACAAGCAACCAGATGTACATTCCATGAGCGTAGCGTGTCAAAGCGCATCACAAATCGTTACTATCGAACGGTTAGACGAACTTAAACTAGTTTATACTTCGCGTCCTTCGCCTACGCGTGACATCGGGTACACTGTGCCTTTAGCGTATCGCCTTTGTTTATTCTTCCAACCAGGCAAGAAACAAAACCTTCCTGAGCAATACCGGCCCTGGTAGCGAAACGTGTTGTTGACTTTGTCGATCGGTTAAGGTGAAAAACGTTGAAGTTGTGGCGAACGCCGAAAAGTGACACGTTTCTCACATGCGTGCGCAGAGCCGCGTGAATTGACGATCGTCGGCTATCATCTAAGCATGAATGAAGCAGCAGAGCAAAGTCGTCACTGCTTCTGAACGAACTATCCATCTTTCTCGGTACCCAGCAATTTTTCACCTCAGTCGATGCCTGTTCACGAAGAAGCAGGAGAAAAACGACTTCGTAAAGCCGAACCTCTTACTCTTCGACTCATCACGTGACGTCACCAGTTCAGTAATG